TCAGTGCAGCCAATAATTGCCTATAAAGGGTCCCCCCTACTTCTTCCCTTCCTCCCTTCGGACTTCATGGGTGAGGTTGGGGGCTCGTGAGGTCATTCGCATCCCCCCACCCGCCCAGGTATGTAGGCTTTACAGTGATTAGGGTGACAGATTAAACCATAATCCACACTAACACAGCCCCAATTTGGGGGGAAGCCGAGGTTGCCAGCATGTGAGAGAAGAAATTTACACAAAATACAAGTATATATCTGTTTTTTTGCAACAAAAGAAACTATTTATTTGGAATATGCATTACCAGTACAAATTAGGAGACTGTAAAGCCTACAGCATGTTAGCATCATTAGAGAACACAAAAGTTCAGTTGGAATCAAAAGGGACAGAAGCCCCTGCTCTCACAGAAGCAGAAAAGCTTAAACTTTCAAAACCAAAACAGAGCAGAACTTTGCAGGTTTATACTCTGAGTAAGAACAGGGGAAGGGAGCGGGGAGAATAAAACCAACAACCGAAGGGAAGCACTTCAAAATAATTGGAAAGAAAGGAAGTAATAAGAGAGAAAAGGGGGAAAACATTGAATGTTTTATTCATTTTAACAAAAGGAAAAAAGAAGTTTACAAAAAATAAAAGAGTCCAGAAAGCTTCGAGCTGGGTGTTGAAACCATAAAGGTGATGTGAAAAGCTCATCATTATTTTGTTGACTCAGGAGCAGGCAAGCAGGTGTCTGGGGCAGAAACACCTGTGGCGCACTGTTCCACGGTCCCGCGTCTTTGCCTTCACTTCTCTTATGTTCTAGGTGCTTTCTGGACACCTAACCATTTGTTGAATGAAAGAGGTTTAAAATAAGTTTCTTCCAGAGAATACCGCTTTCTTTTCTCCCATGACTAATAAAAACATTCCAAATCAAGCTGGTTTAACCATTTGCTTTTCAGTAGCCGGAGGGTAATTAAGAGGTATGCTGTCAAGGCATCAAACTCCACCTCTCAGTGTTAAAAGGAGAGCACGGAGTCAGGCTCAGGTTCTTGACTCTTCATCCAAAATTGGGACTCAAGGGATCCGCAGGCTGACTGACCCCAGGGACGGCCTCCCGGATCTAGTCTAGGAAGCCCGTGGCCCATCACACCAGGACTTCTGTGGGATGCTTCTGGAAGGAAAAAAATCCTTTCTAGTTGTAAGAGGGCTCCTGGAATGTTGTTATTAATCAAGAAGAAAGAAAAGAAAGCACTTTGTTGTGACATTCACAGTCAACAAAGGCAAAAAGGGTCTCCCTACCTTATCAAAGGTCTCCTGGGCCGGTTCCTCGAATTTTTAAAGGGCCAAAAGGAGAAAACCCAGGTCCCTGACGGTGTTTTTTCTCAGGGACTGCCCCACACTCTGGAAATGCAGGTGAGTGATGGGACATCCGCATGGGCTTCATCTTTGTCTTTGAGGTCAACTGAATTCTGGAGCGAAGTAGAAGTACAAGGAAACTGCCTACTCTACAAATGTCTTTTTTCACATCACCTCGTATACACATGTAAGGAATAAAAACAGCAAGATCGTAATCCTGACAATTAAAAAAAAAAGCCCCCCCAATAAAACAACCAAAAATAACACAAAACATAATTTTTTTTTTTATATTTTAAAGAGCAGGAATAAAGAAAGAAAAGAATTTATTTCTGGGTCTCAAAGTTAATAAACATAACGTGTTAGGTTGTACCTATTATGCTCACTATCCCAACCCTTTTTTTTTTTTTAGTTTACAAAATGAATTACTGTCACTTTTAAACATTGTGAAACAGGAAATGAATGTGCACAACTTGACACTTTTCTAGCATTCTTGAACTAATTCACAAATGCAAGAAAATAAAAGAAAAATGGGGGAAATGATTAATGTAGGTAGTTTGGTGTTAAAAACGAACGCAGGAATGATGTGTACTGTCACAGAAAGAGGGGGAGCCCCCCCATCCTGTTTTGCGTGCTATGAGGGTCATTTTTAAAATTTTTATTATAAACACTATTAAATTCAGACCGCTTTTTTGGTTTTTTTTTTTCTTTATCTGAATATACAAGAACATTCATTATAAATGTTCATCATCAATACTACAAAGAACGAGACACAAGTCGCAAGAAACAATGGAAAATGTTAATAAAGCTGAAAGAATTGTTGAGTATTTTTTTGTATTTTTTTAAGTTTTTTTTAAATTTGAGTTTCTGTAGTTTCATCTTTTTTTGGTATCGAAGTCAGGTTTTTCTGGGCAGAAAAATAAAACTCAGAAGGAAAAGGGGGGGGGGAAGGTATGTGAGAGAAGGCAACCAGCAAATAAAGAACAACCACCACAGCGAAATTTAAAAAAAAAAAAGGAAGGAAGGTGCCACTTGGCAAAAGTACTGTGTCAATTCCACGTGAGGGGGAGGAGTTAGGGGTGAAAAAGATTGAGATGGAGAGTTACAAGGTGGGCAATCCCAAGGGCTGGTATTACTCAGGGGAAATCGGCTGCCAGGGACAACGGAACGCTCCCACTCCCATTAGTAAATGCAGGAGTCCTGGGGCACATTTTGGCATCTGTAGGACTGACCTAATAAGAATTCCCAGGGAGCTGTATTTCCAGAGGCACGCTCTTTCCACCCCCTTCCTTCTGCGGCCAGAGTCCCCATGCCTTACTTACTGTCGGGGGATCTGGTGGCTGCCATGTTGGGCTTGACAGTGGGCAGGGGGTAGGTGGTGGGGAAACTGTGGAACAGAGAGGTCTGAGTGGGGAAGATGCTGGGCGAGGTGAGAATCGGTGCAAACTCCTGTGGGGAGAGAAACTGCCTGCAAACGTAGCTCTGCTCTGATCTGTTTCAACAACTTAAAATGGCAATCATTCCATCCAAATCTGGAATCATTCTTCCTGTCGCCAAGAGAACCCTTCCGGGTCTCTTCTGTACTTTGCACAGTCAGGCATGTGATCCAGCCGCACTCCTGCATGGGTAGTTCAGACCCCTGACACTGAACAAGGTTCTCCAATGGCTCCACGACTACGGAGTTGTCACAAGATGGCTCCTGCCAGGAAGCCCCTCGACCGGGCTCTTTTCTGATGGGGGCACAGGTCAGTAGACACAGTCTTTCCACTGCTCTTAGTCATCAAGGCATAATTCCATCTTGCCCAAGATTTACTTTTTGCCTTTCCTTCAAATTCACACACCTTCCAGTTTCTTAGGTAACCCCTCTCCCCAACACGCACACAGAAGCAATTTCTATTCATTGCTGTAGCACCATGCACAATTTCCATGACCTCGTTAGCGGGCCACCCTTTCCCCTCAGGGTCTTCTCTCTCTCCCACAGGCCTCTCAAGCAGAGTAGATGTGACAAGGGGCTAAGTACTTACAAGGCCACGTACTGGATTCAAGTACAAACTAACAGAACCGGGTCCTATTTTTCTAGTGTGGAGGCTTAGCTCTAGTCTAGGAAACCAAACAGACCAAAATCAACAAAGAAGCAACAACAATAGCCCTTCTTCTCTTTGTCCTCATGGCAATGACATCAGGGTACTGATAGTAACCAGAAGTTGGAACAGGAAAACCGTATGTTGCCCCTCCATGGCACCAACCAATTTATCTCAGGGATGACACTTCCTCTGACTTCCCATTTACAGATGGGATAGGAATAAAATCAATTCCTTCATTCTCTCACAAGCCTCTTGGTAAGCCAGGCATCATAATCCCCATTTCACAGACGAAGAAAACGAGGCGCCGAGAGATCTGACCACCTCCCACTTATGGTCAGGTTACAGAGCCACCATCTTTATCGCTGGTGCAGCTGGCTAAGAAGAATGTAAGCTCAGGTGACACTACAGAATAGCTTTCTAGGAGTACTCTCCTCTCAGATATTCCCAGGGAATGAAAGTCACTGTGACAATTTCCCTGAAAATATCACCCCTTCTTTCCCCATCGCTCTCAGGTCTTCAAATTAAGCTAGCAAAATCTGCCCAAGCTGTGTCCTTCCCCAACCCCTCCAGAACAGGAATGTGGTGCCATGATAACACTTTGGATAACTAATGCAACGCCCCTCATATAAAAACAAAAACCAGAACAGAACCAAAACCATTACAGGCATTTTAAGTAGTGTGTGTGGCTCCCTGAGCGCTCCAGAGGTGGCAGCCAACAGGACAGCGGAGGCGGCCAACCTGGCCTCCTCCATCATGATCAAGTCCCGTGTATGTCGTTCTGGTGTGTGGCCACGCTGGGGGGCTGCAGGTCCTGGAAGCCCCAGGCACATACTGTGTCTGTGTCGGTGGCCTTCATTCAGAGTTGCTAATTCCGAACTCTTCTGGGCTCACGAGGCAAATTGCCACGGTTGCTAATGTGGGTCTTTGCAGGTGGGACGTGACTGATCGGGAGGAAATAATGAATGTTTGAGGCCGCGCATGTGCTGACATGCGCCTGAGTGTGCACATACACGTGTGTGTGTGTGTGTGTGTGTGTGTGTGTGTGTGTGTGTGTGTGTGTGAGAGAGAAGGTTTAGTTGAAGGGTTGCACGATAAGAACCTTCTACTCCTTAGTGGTTTATTCATCACCATGCCCACTCAGATCTGGCTTTGCAGTAGGTTCAGGACATTGCTTACTATGTGCGACGTGGTCTCCAGAGACTGTGCCTCTGAAACCAAGAGCTGTTAGGAGGAAGAGGAGGAAGCCTCCGAGAATTCTGCCCTTCTTGTTGCTTATGTCCTCTCCTGCTGCTTGACTTCCTGCCTGGGGATCAACCTAGCGGACCTGAGACCGGAAAACGTGGCACCTTTAGAAGCCCAGCTACGGCAGTCCCCGGGGCACAGCTGGGGCTGGGAAGGAAGAGGAGGAAGGGTTCTAAGCAGAACCAGCCCAGGGAGGGAACAGCAAGAGGGGGCAGGGGGCCTGGAATGAGTGGGGCAACGTGGCGCATTCCTGCTAAGAGGTAGTGAGAGTAAGAAGAGAAACAAGAGAAGGGCTGCCTGTTAATAGAGGGAGCGAGGGATCCGAGGTAAATTTGGCTCCTCAAACCACCAGCATGAAAACATACAAACACGTTTATTATTTTCTTTCCTCTTTAAATTCCTCTAATTGTTGAAAATACCCTTCTGTGATGTCACTGAGGGCAGGGACCCAGGGAGTCTAGGACAGAGGGGGGAGGGGGCAGGAAAGATGGCGGACACCAGGCTGACAGCTGGAGGCAGGGAAGGGTGGCTTCTACCCAGAAAAAAAAGGGAAGAGAGTATAAAGAAGTGTCCAGATTGGCTGAAATAGCATCCCAAAGAAGAGAAGAGAAGGAGACTCTTATTGTGTTTGCTGATTGCTTCGACCTCCAGTCTGACCGCTTCAGCGTTGGGAGAGAAACCCTCCCTCCTGGCCCTGTCCCGACTGGGGCACAGGGTCAGCCGGGATGCGATTGCTGGGAGATCAGTTGGAGGTATCAGAGTGAACACTGCCAGGGCCTTCTGTAGGGGAGGTCACTGATGAAGGGGTAGTAGCATCCTGCCAACCTCCATTAGCCTAGAAGGGAAAAAGGGAGAGAAGTCAGTCCTCTGAGATCAGGTGGCCATTTTGAGCAGACAATGACAACAAGGCAACTTGTGTAATGGGCCTAGCACAGTGCCTGGCACACTGGGGACACTCCTCAGCGGGGCAGCTGATCTTGTGGTCGATAATACTCCCTCCACCCTCAGATGAGTATGGGTCCTCCCACTGAGCCTTTGGACACAAGGTGAATACCTCCCACTTCCCAAAGATACTTTGAGTCAGTCCAAGCCTTCAGATGATCGCTGTGTGGGCTCTAGTGGAGTGACAGGTCAAGGGAACCCAAGTTCTAGTTCTGAGTCTGGCAAGGACTAGCTGTTGACCCTGGCGAAGCACTTCCCCCTCTGTGGCCTTGGGTTCCCCTTCAGAAAGATAAAAAGGTTATCCAAATGTTTTCTAAGGCCTTTCCCTGCATGTTCCGCATGTTACGGGATTCCAGGCACCTGTTCTGTGCAAGGTTCTGTACCACTTGCTCCTGGGTATATAACGATGAGTGAGAGACAGCTCATGTCCTCAAGGAGGGGGATAAGACATGCATATGAATGAACTATAATTCAAGGCAGAGCCTAATAATGTTACAGCCCTGTTGTTATGACAGTTCAGATGAAGGCAATATCCCATCTTGGTGGAGCATCCGGGAAAGCATCAGGGAAGAGGTACTCTTTGAGGTGAGCCTTGAAAAGTACAGAGGGTGATTCAGGTGACTCAAACAGGTGAAACAGAGGTAGACTAAGGACTGGTCTGCATAAATGTATCTAGAGAGGTGGTGAGCTAGGAAGCTATAAGTATGATTTACATTTATAGACCATTTTTCTAAGATTCTAAATCCAGAAGCAACCAAACAATGACACTGTTCTAAAAGGATTTGTTTTAATGAACACCCCTGGCCAAAAATATCCCAACCTTAAAATAGTTGAAGAATGATTTGTTGGGAGTGGTTAACTCATGAAACATAATTCATGATTGTTTATGTATTTGAAAGCATCAAAACAGAAGTGTGCTAAAATGCCTTTTTTCCCCTAATTGCTGTGTTCCTTTGAAGTTAATATACCTCACCTCTGAAAGTGTTCATGTTGAACAGAGCAGGCCTTAGGCATTCCTGGTAAATTATTTTCTACTGCAGTCTCCACTCATTTTATTCCGAAACACTTGGGGTACATGGGGCAGGTACTGTTATTGCCATCTCGGAGGGACCACAGCTTGTACTCTAGCATAACCCATGGTACTGAGGAGCATGCTTGACACCTACGTGCTGGCAAACCTGTGTTCATGTTTCATTCGTAAGAAAGAAGAAGTGCGAGAGAGAAAAGCAGACTTCTGGCTTATGACTGAGACACACAGGCTTCTGAACCTCTGAATCTGGGCTCCTTTTTCTCTGCCCTTCTTATCCACTTGGCTTTCCCCCCCCCCGCCCCCATTGGCTCACCCAAATGATGCTCCAATTTCCCCAGGAAAGCCAGGCGCTGAATTCATAGCAGCTCTTACCAGTTACCTCTGCATGAGGATAGATTTTTTTTTTTTTCCCCACACCTCACTAAAGAGCAGGTCTGGATACCAAGAGCACAAAGGGTCATCCTGGGCAATGCCAAGGGCATTCCACCTCAATCGGGGACCCACGAATAATTGCTCAAAACTCCAACGCTCCATCTCCTGAGGTAGTCAGGCAGCTCCTTCTGCCCCCTCTCCCTGCCCAGCACATTTCTCCTGCTGTTGGGGAGGGACCAGAAGGGGACCGATGAGGGGGAAATGGGAATTCTTTCTTTGCTATCTTTCTGGGGCCATGACTCTGTAGCATGATCAGAATCAAGAACAGAATTAATTCCGTGTCCTGATGCAGGCTGATCACAGGGGTGACGGGAGCTTAGTCTCCCTTCCCAACCAAGAACACGTATTCTGGTGCCATTTTAGGCAGATGGGGAAGAGCCATTATATTTATTTTACCCCAAAGAAAATCCCTTCATGTTGCTTATCTTTTCTGATTACAAAAGATAAGCTCATACAATATTTTTGAATAGAATATTTGCAATTCTGTATGCGATGTAATATTTGGACAAGAGAAAAAGCATGAAACACACAACGTACAACACCCATAATCCTACCAAAGACTAACAACAGCTGTTAGCACTCTGGTACCTGTCTGTCCCCACTGCCCTTTTTTGTATGTGTGTGTTTACCAGAGAGGCAGATGGGTCAGTAAGTAAATAGCCAGCTATGTGGGTGTATGTGTATGTATGTGTTTGCTGAGCGGTACAGGTTTTTAGGAAAACCTGACAGAGGTTCCTTAAGTGTCATGATGTGGAGAGTTAAAGTGCTGGTACAAGAGGAAAAAACTCACGTATCTTAGGATCGACCGGGTGGGAGGTAAGTAGATGCGGAAGATCAGGGAGGCGGTCGCTGTCCGAGGCATGGGACGCGCCGCAGAGGAGTTTCCCAACCTTGCTCGTAAGGCAGCTCTATTACCATTATTTAGCCAGGCTCCAATTCCATTAAAATAACAATAAGTGGTGCCCCCAAATAAAGCCATTAGTCAGGAAAATGAGCCCTGTGGCGTCTCATTAGGAGGGACCCAGCAAGGCATTCTACACGGACCAGGAGATTCCGGGAGACTCCTTTTGATTCGTGTCTGAGACGAAATAACTCGAACAGGAGACATCTGAGAAAGTTTTGTCTTCTCAGACCAGTGCACACGATGCCAGAGGGTACAGGGAACTCACAGATGGCAGAGACGGGAATTAGTTCAAGCTGATATCAAAACTGGCATTTTAATTATGCTAGTTGGCCTGGTGAAGGAGAATACAGAAGAACCTCTACTAAAAACAAATAATGTATGGTGACTAACACAACGTAATAAAATATAAAAAAAGTCAGTCTCTTCGGCCGCCTTTTTTTCCCTCCGACTCTACCCCCCCCCCCCATCAGACTGGGTGACCAACTGTCCCAGCGTGCCCAGGACCCCCCACCCCTTGTTAACACTGAAATCCCATATTCCCATAACCCCTGCCTGCCCCGCCAGACCCAGGAACACCGAGAGGGCTGCTCATCTTCCCCCCAGGATATCCCAGCAACGACCCCCTGCTTCTTGCCACATTCAGGACACTGTGGCCTCTGGATTTCAAGTCAGAGGACAACCAGCCCTTTCTGGAACACACATGCCCAACACTGGCACTGGCTGAAGGATCCCTTTCTCTGGAGGCGCTTTAGACCCTGGCCCAGGGTCTGCTGCCCCTTCCTTGCTGCTCACACCTCACGATCGGAAACTGTGAGCACGCCCCATGGAACCGGGTTTCCCTACATCACTCTGGCGGCTTCAGCTCTATGGTGCCGGCTGTAACGTAAGCCGTTGGGAGGCTGCTGCGTCTTGGGAAACGGCTGACCTCGCTTACTGGCCTTAACCCTGGGGAGCGATTCCGTCCCGCTTCCTCACTGCGGGTGCATATTAAAGTGGGAAACTCCGCCTTTGTGTGTTTATTTATCTCTGGGGCTGGAGCAGGGAGCGTACAGGATGGTCTCATTAGCAACTGCGCAGGGGTGGCGAGAAATAAGACTCGTTTTTATTTTTCTTCTGCACCCCAACTTCTGCCTTCACTCTCCGATGCAAAGTCCCCGTTATAACAGACATGCTTACTCCAAGATGCTGACACTGGAAACGCCCAGGAGGCCTTACAGGGGTGGGAAGGTGAATTCTGCAAAACCACGTGTGGCCCTATTATCTCCACAAACATCTCTAATGGAAGAGCGTTTACATTTGCACCTAGTCCTACAGGTAATTCTGTGGCCTGCAGATGCTGGAGGCAAGACCTGATCTCACATTTAATTCTATCAGAGGAAGCCTAAGCCGGCGGCAGGCTCATCCTGGGACGTCAAGGAGGAGGCGGCTAATAGAATATAAAATTAGGATAACATGCAGCCGGTTTCCCAGACAAGAAAACCTGGACTTCCCAACACAAATCCAAGAAAGGTATCTGGGGACAAAGAATCTCAGAACGGAAACAACTATGTACATCGTACCCAAATGAATTTGGCACCTAACTGATGTACACCCAACGTTGCTGGGACTGCCTCTATGGGCAAGGCATGGCCTTCCTGGTGGAGGAGGCACAGCAAGCCCCCTATGACACCAGGGATGGAGCACTGGTGGATGGGGGCAGCCACATGGCTTCTCCTGACCAAACACGAGAACCAGGAACCGCACCCGAAGCCCTGACTTCTCTCTTGTCGGCCACCTTCCTGAGCGCAAACAGGGGCCACCTGCCTCTCCCCCGCCACGGAGGACGCAAGGGTGCGGTGGCCGCTGGGCTGAGCCGCCGGTCCCATCCTCTGCTCCTTCGCGCTCTCCCTCTGAGCTTCCCTTAGCAGCACAAAGTTGATGCAGAGAATTCATCACCTGATGTGACAGCCCAAGCAAGCCTGGCACTAAGAAACTCTCATTTGCAACGCAGAAATGCGCTGAGGTGCCACAAACTGGCTGATGTCAGCACCAAGTAGAGCTAGATCTGCATATGGGCCAGATGCCATTACCAGAGCTGCCTTAGCGTGGGCGAGCATGTGTACGTGCCCCAGGCCGTGGTGGGGCCGGCCGGGAGGAAGCACAAAGAAACATGCATGCACCCGCTCTTCCTTTCTAGGTGCGCGCGCGTGCGCACACACACGCGCACGCACGCACACACACACACACACACACACACACACACAGTACTGATCAGGGAGCCATCAGCTCACCCAGTGCAGTCACATCCTAGATCCACCACTTTTCCAGGAAGATGGAAGAACTAGGTTTTCCTGATATGCACATACTTTCCCCAACATTACACAGCGAGTGTTTACCAAAAGATGTTCAGGGGCAAAGCGATGCCGTTGGAAAGTCCCCTCAGGACAAAAAATTCAAAATTTCCCTGGGAGGTTTCACCATGGTAAGCAGGCGCATGCCTAGGCTGACAATCTCCAGCCGTGTCTCTAGCTACCACCAGAGCCATCTT